AAACCGCGATCCTCCTTACTTCCTTACCTCCCTTTCCTGGGTGAATGGGATTATAGGCATGAGCCATGGTGTCTGGCCTAAGTGTGTGTGTGTGTGTGTGTGTGTGTGTGTGTGTTAAGAAGTGATGTTTGACAGTGTAGCAGGTAATGTCAGGGGAAAAATTAATAGAATTCTTCCAAATGAGGCTCTGCTATGCTAAAGCCCTTGAGGTCTGATGAACACCTTTGGGCTAAATGGCTTCTAATTAAAAATCTTCCAAATGTCTCTGTGCGTGCTGAGGGAGCCCGTGGTGTTTATAAATTCGGTCAGCTTTGGCCGGCTGACCTCCTTTGCACGCCGGCACTATCTCCGATGCCCACCTGACCTCTGCCTGCATTGTAGGATCCGATTCTGCTTTCAGCCCCCAGCCCCTTCCTCACGCCCAGCTTCTGTCTCCAGTGTAGCTCGAGCTGGTTGAGCAAGAGTCATCGCAGATGCCGTGTGTGTGTGTGTGTGTGTGTGTGCGTGTGTGTGTGAGAGTGTGTGTGCGTGTGTGTGTGAGTGTGTGTGTGTGTGTGTGTGTGATGGTCTCACACACGCATAGTGCACAGCTCTCGCCTATGAAGGGGTCCCGCTGGAGGTCGAGGTGGAAGTGCGCACATGACTTTCCTTCTTGTCTGTATCATCCTCGGCCAGTGAAACTCTTCAGCAAGAAAGGCAGTCGTGAGAGGTGGCGTGCACAGAACACGTTAGCTAAGAGCAACAACTTTTCTCAGTATGGAGGGATGTTTTGGTGATGAGAATGAGCTTGTTTGTGACAAGCCTCAGGCCTCTAACCTCCTTCCCGTGGCTTCTTACTTACCGGGGACGATAGGTTGAAGCACTGTGCCTAGCTTCTTCGTTGAGATGGAGTCTTGCTAGCTTCTGTCTGGGTTGGCCTGGAACCGTGATCCTCCTCCTGCCTCCAGAGAAGCTGGCGTGCTCTGGTACACCCAGTGGGACAATGATCCTCCTATCTCTGCCTCCGGAGAAGCTGGGAGGGCAGGCGCGCTCTGATACACTCGGGGGAAACAGTCTTCTGACTTTGCCACAGCAGTGACAGAGCAGCGCAGGCTTGGTGGTGAACGCAGCTGGCGTGCGGTCAGCTGGATGGCAGGGGTGATGGCCACACGCACTCCTACCTTCTCCCTACCACCCGGCCTGCAGGGAAGCAAGAATGTTCCCCATCAGCGCTTTTCTTGCTGGGTGGATACTCATTTAGTCCTGCTGTGCAGGCAAGTTCTTTGGAGGGAATTTTGATTCCCATTTTAGGTCTTGCTTTTCTTATCCCTGCCGACGCGGAGGACTCTGGCTGGTGCAGCAAGGTGTCAGGCTCCCGCGGAGGGCAGGGTTGCGAGGGTGGGAAGTGGGGGGGTAGTGGAGGAGGGGACGGCCCAGTGCGGCTGGACGAGTTGTTCGGGATTTCAGGGGTGGTGGTTGTGTACCCCCCAAACTCATCCATCCTGTCTGTGTTAGGAAAAGACTCCCAGGTGGTCTTTGATTCTGACCTTGATCTCAACCTCCAACCTGAGTCCTTTTTTTTTTTTTTTGTCAGCTGCAATTCCAGACGGTCGCCAGCAGATGGCGCTGTGCCCTCCAGGTCCCTAAGAGAAGATGGCAATGGGGGTGCAGGCCTTGATCTGCTCCTGACCTTGTCCTTGTCCTTCCTGTCCCCCTTCCCCCCCCCCCCGAAAAGCCCCAGAGGACCGTGAAGGCTCTCTACGACTACAAGGCCAAGCGTGCTGACGAGCTGACCTTCTGTCGGGGTGCCCTCATCCACAATGTCTGCAAGGAGCCAGGGGGCTGGTAAGGCCGGGGAAGTGGGGGGGGGGGGGCGGAAGGGGCTCTGGGACAGCACCCGGGTGCCACCTGTGCTCACCTGCCTGCTGAGTCCTGTGACGCAGCATCACACACCTCCCTTCGCACCCCCCCCCCCTCCCCCCCCCCCCGCCCCAAGCCGATGGCGTTCCTGCGGCAGATCATCTTCGTGCAGTGAATGGCCGGAGTCACCGCCATGTGCTCCTTGCAATCCAAATTCGTAGGCTGCTGCTTAGTCCTGTGTGTCGCACGCATGGCGGCTCTCTGGGTTGTTCCCACAGTGCTGTGGGGTTGGTTACCGAGGGCGGAAGAGTCGCTACGCAGACTAGTGCAGGCTCTGGTGCAGGGTCCCACCGCGGCCCCACCCCCACGCCTGCCCAGCGCAGTCTCCCGTGGGGGACTCCCTCCGGCCCGGGGACCTCGAAGGTGGTTTAGAATCAGAACTTTCTCCCTCCAGGCCGGTTCTGGCTGGATCCCCGCTCTGCTCCCATTCTTGCTGTCCCCTGTCTATGGGGGAGCCTGAAGCACACAGCACGCACCATGGTAGGGCTGGAGTTTGAGTCCAGGCCTCCTGGGTCTAGAACTTTCTCCATACACCCCAGTGTCGAAACTCACGAGCCTTCCTTCAAATGGGGTGGGCGCTCTCCTGCTTGAGCCATGTCCCGAGTTCTTACTTGTCTCAGTTACTTTCATGTCAGGCCTTGCTTTTGGCCTCAGTGGCTTTGGAACTGCAATCCTCTTTCTTATTTCTCCCTGGAGCTGGGACTGCAGGCCTGGGCCACCACGCTTGGTTTGTTGGTGGCATTGGAGCCAGGAGCTTCCACATCTCCACCCCTGGTATTGGGGGTTACAGGCGTGCGCCACCATGCCCTGTCTACCATTTCATTTGAACATGGAAATGGTTCCCTGGTGGTTAAAAAACAAGAAGTCAGCGGCTCCCTTTCCAGTGCTCTGTGGCGGCAGAGGCAGCCCTCGGCGGGCCACGTGGGCTAGCCTGGCCTCTCCTGTGAGCGGGAACCCAGGAGCAGTAGAGTATGGATGGATTGTGCATTGGATGAGCATGGCCTGGTGCAGACCCCCCACGCCTTCCTCGTTGGCGCAGGTGGAAAGGGGACTATGGGACCCGAGTCCAGCAGTACTTCCCGTCCAACTACGTGGAGGACGTCTCGGCCGGCGACCCCGAGGGGCTGGAGAAGCAGGTGAGCCGCCCTGGTCCCCGGTCACGGCGGGAGGTCCGCCTGCCTGCGCGGGGAGGGGGGCCCGGGGGGGGGGGCCCGGGGGGGGGGTGGGCACCGCTGGCTGCCGATGCGGGGCTTTGTCCCGTGCTCAGTGCAGTTTGCACACGCAGCATGGTTGGTCTGGAAGCCAGACGCCAGACGCGTGGAGTTCCTGCTGGGAGGGGTGCTTGCCAGGCACCCTGGCCCGAAGCTCACAGGAGGCCTCTCTTCCCTTCCAACCGCCTTTCGCTTCCCTGGGCCAGCACCATGCTGAGGGCCCAGGCTTATGATAAGGACTTTCCATCCCAGAGCACTAATTTCACACGGGAGGCAGGGTCAGTCCGGGAGGGCTCCCTGGAGGAAGCATGCTTGAGCCTTAAAAAATCAAAATCAAGTTAGAGCTCAGTAGTGAGAGATCCGCAGGAAGGAAACGGTGTGTGAGTGTGACTGTGAGAGTGTGTGTATGAGAGTGTGTGAGTGTGAGAGTGAGTGTGAGTGAGAGTGTGTGTGTGTGTGTGTTTGTGTGAGTGTGACTGAGTGTGAGTGTGCGTGTGTGTGAGCGTGTGTGTGTGAGCGTGTGTGTGTGTGTGTGTGTGTGTGTGTGGGAGTGTAGTCGGAGCCACAGAATGTGAGGTGTCCCACATGCCTAGTTTTACAGGCCACGGTGTTTGCAGAATTCACTGCAATCCAGACGCAGGGTGTGTCTGGTGGGGAGGGTGGGCTGGGGCTTCTCAGGGCTCAGAAGGCCCCAAAACGCGCATGACTGGACGGACCATTGTTTCCACAGGACAAGAGGAGCCGCAGAAGGGTTTCCTCCCTCCCTCCCTCCCTCCTTCCTTCCTTCCTTCCTCTCTCCCTCCCTCCCTCCCTTCCTCCCTTCCTCCCTCCCTCCCTCCTTTCTTCCTTCCTTCCTTCATCTCTCCCTCCCTCCCTTCCTCCCTCCCTCCCTCCCTCCTTCCCTCCTTTCCTTCCTCCCTTCCTCCCTCCCTCCTTCCTTCCTTCCTTCCTTCCTTCCTCTCTCCCTCTCTCCCTCCCTTCCTCCCTTCCTCCCTCCCTCCTTCCTTCCTTCCTTCCTTCCTTCCTTCCTCCCTTCCTTCCTTCCTTCCTTCCTTCCTTCCTTCCTTCCTCTCTCCCTCTCTCCCTCCCTTCCTCCCTTCCTCCCTCCCTCCTTCCTTCCTTCCTTCCTTCCTTCCTCCCTTCCTTCCTTCCTTCCTTCCTTCCTTCCTTCCTTCCTTCCTTCCTTCCTTCCTTCCTTCCTTCCTCTCTCCCTCTCTCCCTCCCTTCCTCCCTTCCTCCCTCCCTCCTTCCCTCCTTTCCTTCCTTCCTTCCTCCCTCCCTTCCTCTCTCCCTCTCTCCCTCCCTTCCTCCCTTCCTCCCTCCCTCCTTCCCTCCTTTCCTTCCTTCCTTCCTCCCTCCCTCCCTCCCTTCTTCCCTTCCTCTCTCCCTTCCTTCCCTCTCTCCCTCTCTCCCTCCTTCTTTCTCCTCTCTCCCTCTCTCTTTCTCCCTCCCTCCCTCCATCCCTTTTCTTTTCTTTTCTTTTCTTTCCCTAGGGCTTGAACTCAGGGCCTGGCCACTGCCCCTGAGCTTTTCTGCTCAAGGCTAGCACTCCACCACTTTGAGCCACAGCGTTATTTCTAGTTGGTTGTTTTTTTTGGGGGGGGGGTTGGTAATGAAAGATCAGAGTCTCACAGATGTTCCTGCCTGGGCTGGCCTCGAACTAGGATCCTCAGATCTCAGCCTCCTGAGTAGCAAGGGTGACAGGCGTGAACTGCCAGCACCTGGCCCCAGAAGGTTCCCGAGCTGTGAAGTAGTTGTCCAGAGCGCCCCATTCCACAGTGGTGCGAGAGAGGGGGGCTAGGATGTTCTGAAATCCACTAGGCACATTTTTGTGAGTTTAGAAGATGAAACTCGAACCTACAGGCACCTGTTAGTGTCTGGGTCCATCCTCTTTCTGCGCTTCATTCTTTAGCGCCCCCCACCCCCCGCCCCGCCTTGCCCCAGGAGAGACCCTGTAATGAAGTCATGCTCTAACAGTCCCGCAGTCTCTCTCGGATGGACGCAGGGCTGTGGGGACCGGCTGGCTTTTCATCGCTCCTGTTATGATGACCGGCTAACGCCATGTTTCTTCACAGATTATGGAAGATAATCCCCTAGGATCTCTCTGCAGAGGGATCCTGGACCTGAATAACTACAACGTTGGTAGGTGTTTGCAGAGGCGTGGCTTGAGGCCGACGAACTGGGAGGGCTACCTGGAGGAGGCGTGTATGAGGCTTAGCGCTCGAGCTGGAGCTCGATGACACCTGTAATCTGCCGCCCCAGCAGGCCCTGTCTGCCAGGGTTGGGGTGCCAGGTGGTTGATTGCACAGATTGCACAGCCTACCTAGTTCTGTTCGGTCGAGTGTAGGAGGACTCGAGGACATTTCGCCTCAATTCTCTTGCAATTGAGACAAGATCGGAATCCAAGCTATCTAGGAATGCCACAGGTTCCGGGACAGCCATATCTCAACATGAGATAGAAACGGCTTCTGGGGCGGGCGGCAGGGCAGGAGCAGGCCCGGCGGGGCAGGCTGGGCCTTCCCACAGCCCCTGTGGCCTCTGCTGCGCCCACAGTAAAAGCCCCGCATGGAAAGAACCAGAAACCTTTCGTCTTCATCCTGGAGCCCAAGAAGCAGGGGGACCCCCCGGTGGAGTTCGCCGCAGACAGCGTGGAGGAGCTCTTCGAGTGGTTCCAGAGCATTCGACAGATCACCTGGAAGATCGACACCAAGGTAGGCCTGGGCCCTGGAGGGCACCGTGGCACTGTGGAGGCCGGCAGCGGGAGGCGCAGGCCAGAGGGCTGCACAGGGCTCAGGCGGGAGGCCAGGCCGGCCCCTTTCCTTAGAAAGCAGAGGGGACCGCAGGGGACCCTGGAACGTGACCAGCAGGATCAGAGGGTGCTTGGTGCTTGTTTGCCCTCTGGCTCTTAACCAAGCCAGGCTGGCCTTGTGTGTGCGCTGTCCTGCGTGAACGAGGCCCAGAGCAGCCGGGATCCATCCTCCACAGCGCCCCGCGGGGCTCGATCCCGCCCCCGAGCGGCCTTCCCACCTTGGCCTGAGGCCAGCACCTGTGTCCGGCCGCTGGGTTTTGAGACCGAGGGGTTGGGGTTTGGAGAACCCGTAATGTGCAGCTGGCAGAGCTGGCGCGGGGCGTGGACCCTCGGGAAGAGCCCGATCCTGACCTGAGTGGCTGCGGGGGGAGGGGGGGCGTGCGTGGTGGGGGATGAGCTGTCACCTTGTCACCGTGCCCGTGGCGGGACAGGTGCCGCCCCCAGGCTCTCTGTGGGGCCACCGGCCCACCACCCCTCCCCCAAAGGGAGGGGTCACTCCCTGAAGGCCGCTTCCACTCCAGCCAGCCTGGGGCCCCCCGGGGGGCGCACCCTCCACCCCCCTTTTCCTTCCCTGGTGGGGGAAGGCTTTCCAAGGCTTTGTGCTGAGCCCCATCGCGCGGCCCTCTGCCCTGCTGTGGCCTGCCCTCTCCATCGCCCCTCTGGCCCCGAATCGAACCAGAGGCCCTCAGATGGCTCTAGATTCTTCTGTGCTTTTTTTTTCTTTCATTTTTCTGTTTCCTGGTGGCATTTGTGTTTGGCTCGGGGTCCTGGGCTGGCTGGGCAGGCGCTCTGTGCTCTGCCTCCCGGGGCTCACCTCTAGCCTCCCCCCCTTTTTTTTCTTTTCGGTATTGATTCTTTGCAGGGTAGGGACTTGGTGTATTTTGTTCTTGTTTTGTGCCAGTCCTGGGGTTGAACCCAGGGCCTGCTCTCTGCCCCTGAGCTGCTTTTGCTCAAGGCTAGTGTGCTCTACCGCTTGAGCCACAGTGCCACTTCTGGCTTTTTGGGTAGTTTAGACAAAAGTCTCTCTCTCTCTCTCTTTCTCTCTCTCTCTTTCTTTCTTTCTTTTTTTGTTGGTTGTGGGGCTTGAGCTCTGGGCCTGGACGCTATCCTTAAGCACTTCAGCTCAAGGCTACTGCTCTACCACTTGAGACACAGCACTACTTCCAGCTTTTTCTGCTTATGTGGTGCTGAGGAATCGAACCCAGGGCCTCAGGCATGCAAGGCAAGCACTCTGCCACTGAGCCACCTTCCCAGCCCCCTCTCACTGACTTTCTTGCCCAGGCTGGCTTTGAACCAAGATCCTCCGGTCTCAGCTCCTGAGTGCTGGGATTACAGGCGTGAGCCACAGCTTCTCCACTTGTCTGAATGGAGAAACACATGTGACTTCACTGGAAGGTTCTCTGTCACTTTCTCCATCGCTCGCTGCTGCATGGTTGCGGAAGCTAAACCTTCTTCAAGGCTGCTCTGCTCTGTCTTTGATCTACATTTCTCCTTAATTGGTTTTGATGTTGGCTAAGAGTTCATGAGACTAATTTCTTAAGTCTCATTATTAGAAGGTTAACAAAACCCAAAACACCCCACCAGGAATCAGAACTGAGTCTTTGCTCTGAGCTGGGCCTCCCAAGCGTCGGGGAGGGCGTGGGGAGGAGGAGGGTGGGGACGCGGGGCGCGGGGTGAGCTGCGGGAGCTGGCACAGGCGCTGGCTGGAAGGCTGTCGCTGGAGGTGACGGGTCTCCAACAGGAAAACAACATGAAGTACTGGGAGAAGAACCAGTCCATCGCCATTGAGCTCTCAGACTTGGTTGTCTACTGCAAGCCGACCAGCAAAACCAAGGACAATCTAGGTAAGCCTCCCCGGACCCCGCCTCTGGCTGAAGGAGGATGTCAGAGGGCGGAGGCACTGGCCGCTTCCTTTTGGCTCTGAAGTCCGGGATGCAGACACCTCCACTCCTTGGAACACTTTGGCAGGAGCTACCTGGAGGCAGATCTGTTCCCCCTGCTGCAGATGGCCACAGACCTGGTGGCTAGACATGCCGCACACTGAGTCTCAGCCTTGAGGGACAGAAAGCAGTCGGGGGTGAGCTGGGCCCGTTCCTTGTTAGCTTCTCCCGGCTCCGGGAAGCGGCTTGCAGCTCCTGGCTTGTCGCCCCTCACTGGAGTCTCTGGTCACCGTCTGTGGTCACCAGGCTGCCTTCGTGTGAGACCGCAGCCGGCCCCCACGGGGTCGCCCAGGAAAACCTTCCGGGTCAGACTCTGCACACACATGACACAGCCGTGACGCTGGGGCTGAGGACCGGGGTCCTCATTGTGAGGGAGGGGCTGGACATCGCACCCTCCCCCAAATTCACCCCAAAGTAGCAAGACCTTTGATGATGTCCTCACCCAGGCTCGGGCCTTCTGAGCGACTCCTTCTCTGTCGTCTGGGATTTCAGAACAGGAGACTAGAGAGCTAGTGGCGAGCCCCAGAATGAACCCAGGGAAGATGCTGGCGCTCAGGGTGGACTGCAGGCAGGCTCTGCGTGTCCACTGCTTCGCGGTCCACCCCCCCCCAGCTGGACGGGGCGGGGGGAGCAGAGAGGAAGCGCAGCCACACCTGAACACCCCTTCCCGTCACCCCACGCCCCGTGCGACTCCCCTTCCGCCCCGTGGCTCTCATTTCCCCAGAGCGCTGGGTCCCTGGTCCTGCATCTGCAGCCTCCTGACTGCGGAAGCCCTCTCCTCAGCCCCCGTTCTCTGTGTCTTCCATCCACTACCTGCGCCCCCAACCTCCCGCTTCTGTCTGAGACCTCCCTTCCTGGCCTTTCCCTACCTACCGCTCCTGTGCATTCTTGTTCAAGGAGATCGGTCGCTTTAAACAGCAGGTAAACTGCGGCCTGTCTAGACTGAGGAGCTATGGGAGAACCAGGGAGCCCCTCTGGCCCAACACCTTTAGACATGGGGTGCCCCCGGCTCTGTGTGCAGAGAACCCCGACTTCCGAGAGATCCGCTCCTTTGTGGAGACCAAGGCAGACAGCATGGTGCGGCAGAAGCCCCGGGAGCTGCTGCGGTACAACCAGAAGGGCCTGACGCGTGTCTACCCCAAAGGACAGCGCGTGGACTCCTCCAACTATGACCCGTTCCGCCTGTGGCTGTGCGGCGCCCAGATGGTGGCCCTCAACTTCCAGACCGCAGGTGGGAGGGGCGGCGGGGGGCGGCCGGGGCCGCAGGGCCTCGCGGGGCGCTGGTAGGGTGTGGAGTCTGGGAGGAACGGTTCCACCTGAGCCCTCACCAGCGGGGTGGTGGGGGGACTGGGGACATGGGGACGAGGCAGGCCATGTGACATCGGGGCGGCCTGTCTTGAGACTGGGAGGGACACACGTGAGCTTCGTCTAGGAGCTGATCTGGGGCTTCAGGCTGGGCTGGATCCAGGTGCCTCAGACTTCATGCATAGAACTTCTTCCAGAGACGGGGTCCGTGGGGGGTGGGGGTGGGGAACGAAGAGTGACCTTCAGGATGGAGTCTACGGTTCTGAGGCCCCGGGGGGCTCGGCTGAAGGAGTCCCCGGCAGCTGGCAGCTTCTCTCTCTCCTTCCAGACAAATACATGCAGATGAACCATGCGCTGTTCTCGCTCAATGGCCGGACAGGCTACGTCCTGCAGCCCGAGAGCATGCGCGGGGAGAAGTACGACCCGGTACCGCCCGAGTCACAGAGGAGGGTGGTGATGACGCTCACTGTCAAGGTGCGGTGCCCCAGCGTACCCCACCCCGCACACGCGCTGTCACACGTGCTCAGCAGGGACCACGCGCCCAGCTCACCCCAAGATCACTGTGGGGGAGGGAGAGGACGTCCCTGAGCCTAGCCTGGCACTCCCCCAGGGCCTTTGCGGGGTGACATTGTGAGTCTGTCTCTTGGGGGTCCCTGCGGAGCCAGCCTCCCGGCAGGAAGAGAAGGAGATCGGGGGTCCTGGGTCTCAGAAGAGGGAGGGCTGTCTTCCCTTTGTTAGTGGCAGGGCCAAGGCTCCCCAATACCATCTTCAGAGGTTTCGGGGTGATAATTTAAATAATGGCATTTCTCACAAGATTAAGGAAGATAAAATGCAGCACGCATGCGTGTCAGTCCTTACACAAGGAAGGAGTAGCCCTCCTTCTTCCCACCCTGGTCTGGGGAATTGGGAGCCCAGGAGCCCGGCCCCGGGGTGTGTGTGTGTGTGTGTGTGTGTGTGTGTGTGTGTGTGTGTGTGTGTGTGTGTGTGTGTGTGTGTGTGAGTGTGTGTGTGTGTGTGTGTATTGTACCTGTTCTCCTGCCCAGATAAGACCCCGCTGAGGCGGGCAGCCTGGGGTTTGGGGGGCCACCTGTGGACGGTCGCTCCCCAGACCTGGCGTGGGTGAACTCCAATCAAACGATGCTTGGCTTGTTGCAGGGGGGAGGGGTGTGGGTGTGGAGGGGTGGGGAGGGGGAGCAAGTTCAGCTTCTGCCGGCCGGGGCTGCATTCCTGACTTCGCCCTTTTAGGTCCTCGGCGCTCGCCACCTCCCCAAGCTCGGGCGAAGTATTGCTTGCCCCTTCGTGGAGGTGGAGATCTGTGGGGCGGAGTACGACAACAATAAGTTTAAGACCACGGTCGTGAGTGAGTAGCCTGCTCTTTCTCTTCACCTTTGAGCAAGTGATTCATCCATCCGATGATGATCCTTGGGGTTGGGAAATGTTTTTGTTGGCCCCGTGAGTGATGGAACTCGGGGCCGTGGACGGGCTAGGCAGGTGCCCAGCCGCTTGGGCCACACCTCCAGTCCTTTCATTTGTTTAGTTTGTTTTTCAGATAGAGAGGTCATGACCCAAGGCCAGCCTGGGAAAAAGCCTGGGTCCTTACTTCTCAGGCAGCTGGGGTTACAGGCGTGTGCCGCCACACCCGCCCATCTGCTGTGCAGACATTGCCCTTCCTCTTCCTGCCGACTTGGTTCAGAAGGCCATCTGACTGAGTCACTGACCTGGTGCCCAGTGCTGTGTGTGGCTGCTGATTAGTGGGGACTAAATGAGGTCGAGACTTCAGGGCAAGCTTCTCTGACTCACGCTCGCACCCGGTGAACCTGCTGGGTTCAAAGCAGACGCATTAGGGGGTGGGGAAGCGGCCAGCCTGGCCAGATGACGCAGCCTTTGCCCCCAGAGAGAGGTCGCCCAAGGGGGGCAGGCGAGGGCTGGCGGTGAGGGCTGGCGTTTGTCACCCCTGCTCCTTCAGGACGGATCGCAGTCCAAGGCTAGCCCAGGCAGAGCAAGACTCTAACTGAAAGCAAAGATGGGCGGGAGATGTGGCTGGAGGGCTGAGGCCCTGAGCTCAGTCCCGTGCCTCCCCTTTGCGCTTGCTTTGCTAGGACATGAGGCCAGGCAGGGCCCGGAAACAGTGGGTCTTAAGACCCAGCATTCCTTCCTGCCTAGGGCCCAAGCTGAGATGCCGAGCGGCTAAAAGCGGGCTTCTGAGAGGGCGGCGGGGCCGGTGTCACCTCTAACGAGCTTCAGTGTCCCGCAGATGACAATGGCCTCAGCCCTGTGTGGGCTCCCACTCAGGAGAAGGTGACCTTTGAGATTTATGACCCCAGCCTGGCCTTCCTGCGCTTCGTGGTCTACGAGGAAGACATGTTCAGCGACCCCAACTTCCTGGCCCATGCCACCTATCCCATCAAAGGCATCAAGTCAGGTAAGGGGCACTTGGATGAAGAGACCCAAGCGAGCTCATTATCTTTCTTCGGTCTGTGCTGCTGGCTTTAAAAAAAAAAAGAAAAAGCTGGGCGCCGGTGGCTCACGCCTGCCATCCCAGCTACTCGGGAGGCCGAGATCTGAGGATCAGGGTTCAAGGCAGGAAAGTTCCCATCAGATTCTTATCTCCAGGGAACCACCAGAAAACTGGAAGTGGTGCCGTGGCTCAAAATGGGAGAGCACCAGCCTTGGGCAAAAGAGCTCAGGGGCAGCGCTCAGGCCCTGAGTTCAAGCCCCACGACTGACCAGAAAAAGAAAGATAACAAGCAGTTTGCCCCCTCTGGGGTCCCTTGACGGTGTGGTGGCAGCGTGGGGGGGATGACCGGCTTGGGTGCGCCTCCTGGCTTTCAGAGTTCACCTCTTTCGATAACATCGGGAGGCGGGTTCTTTGAATTAAGATGATTTCTTCCATGTTGATTAAAAACAACAACAACGCCACAGACCTTCATGGCTTCAGAGGCTCATGTTGAGTGGGCTTGGGACTAACTCAAGTGGGACCTAGCACAACCTGGCACTGGCTCTGCCCCCTCCGAGAAGGACCCCCCCCCCCCCCCTCCAGCCCGGAGCTGAGATCGAATCCCCCAGAGGAAGCTCCAGGTGCCGGTCCTGTCACCGGAAGCGCGTACTCGCAAGAGGCTGTCTTCTTTATCCCTAGATCTCACGTGGGAGCTTCAACAACCAACGCCTCTCCCTCCCTCCCCCCCATCTTGAATTCCCATCCTTAGTATTTTTCTGAGGTGTGCCATATTCAGGCCACAGATCTTTCTGGATTCCTCAGGGGGTCCCATTCCCTTGCTTTTCTAAGATTTATTTTTTCAAGAGAAAGAGGTGATCGTTTTAGTCATTTAATAAAGCCAATCCTTTGGACTTGTTGGGGGAACTCGGGTCCCGTGCAGCGCGGAACTGGGTCTTCTTGGAAAGCTCGGAGCATGCCAGGCATCCCCTCAGCTTCCCCCTGTCTGTAACCTGACCGTGGCACGATGCCCTGCCCTGGGCTTCGGGCTAGAACGCAGATTCCCAGGCCCTCCGTGCATGGGCTCACGCAGCTCCAGCAGAGGACAGACAGCAGACGGGGCTCTCCGTCTTTTCGGTGTTGATGTTGGTGTAGGCGTTGGTTTCCTTGGTGGGTAGGCTAAGCAAGAGTTAGGGAGAGCGCTGCAACTCCTGGGGTGGTTAGAAATGCCCATTTGTAAGCCCGTGAGGCCTGACATTTGGCAACGCTTCTGGGTTAACTTGCCAACACGGCCAACTACTTTAGCACGGCACTCAAGCTGTGCTGCTCTGATTTGCACATGCTTTGTTTGGATTAGCTCAGCGAATAAAGCACCACTGTCCCAGGCCCGCAAGTCTTCAGAGTCCTCATCTTACCACGGCGCCAGGGTTGTTTTCTCTTCTTTTTATTTTGTTTTATGCTCTCGCTTGGCTTTTCTGCTCAAGGCTGATGGAAGTAGAGCCACAGCTCTACTTCTAGCTTCTTGCTGTTTGGAGATCAGAGTCTCACGGACTTGCCTGCTTCAGCTGGATTGGAACTTCTATCCTCAGATCTCAGCGTCCTGAGTAGTAGCTAGGATTACAGGTGTCAGCCACCTGTGAAGTCTGGTGGGATTCCTTCCTCTCTTCCTTCCTCTCCCTTCCTTTCTTCAGTCATGGGGCCTGGACACTGGAAATGGGAGTCCAGTGGACTTTCCTACCTGGGCTGACCTTGAATTGCCGTTGTCTGGAGCAGCTAGGATTACAGGTGTGAGTCAGCCCCCTGCACCCAGCTAAGATACCTTCAAACGTGCTTGATTCAGAGATTCTATGTTCCAAGAGCATACTTTGGTGAAGACAAGGACACATTTAGCCAACCAAGACATCCACAGGGAAGTTCAGTACAAAGATGGTGTAGGAGCAGGGAGCCATTTATCAACCTCGTTTGTGGACAAACGATATCAGGAGGATCTCATACTGAGCTTGCTTAGTGAGTTGCCTGGGTATCTTGGCGAAAGTGTGTTTATCCCTTCGCCCTACTCTGCATGATTAAGAAGATGGACAGATAGCAAAGTGATGAAGTAGAGTGAAGGGCAGGGGCGAGGCGGGAGCCGGGCACGCTCCTTCCAGTATCGCCACTGAGTGATCTGTTTGAGACTTTCTCTAACAAAAGTCATCAGAGTATAGCCAGCCCTCCCGCTCTCTGTGGGAGAATTATGGTCGTAAGATGGGGTGCAGTGTTGTACACGCTGCTGGTGTGGAATCTGCTCATCTTCCCCACTTCAGGGGAAGCTCAGGCTGCTGTCCTCAGCACTGCACACCGATTGCATAAAACGTTCTCTGAGGAAAACTAGCTAAAAAGCTGGAGGCGGCATCCAGGAAATGGAGAAGAGTGTCTCCAGTGAGTGCATTGTGTGCCCTGGAGAATCAGCAGCTACAGTGTCAACACAGAGCTTTTGTTTTTTGTTTTGGTCGGTCGTGGGGCTTGAACTCTGGGCCTGGGCGCTGTTCCTCAGCTCTTCAGCTCAAGGCGAGCGCTCTATCCCTTGAGCTACAGCACCACTTCTGGTTTTCTGAGTGGTTTATTGGAGATAAGAGTTTTATGGACTTTCCTGCCTGGCCTGGCTTTGAACTGGGATCCTCAGATCTCAGCCTCCTGAGTAGCTAGGATTACAGGCGTGAGCCATCGGCACCTGGCTTCAACAAGGAGTTTTTAAGACACCTGTGATAAAGTAGATGCTGAAGATGGAAAACTCATTGGTGCCATGCTTTTAAATGACTCCTCCTCCTCTTCTTCCTCTTCCTCCTCCTCTTCCTCCTCCTCTTCCTTTCCTCTTCCTCCTCGTCCTATTCCTCCTCTTCCTTCTCTTCTTCCTCCTCGTCCTCCTCTCCCCCCTCTCTTCTTCAAGCTGGTACTCATACTTGAACTCAGGCCTCAAGCCCTGGCTTGACTTTTTAGTTCAAGGGTGGTGCTCTGTCACTTGAGCCACAGTAACCGGGCCCTAATTATAAATAGGGGATGGCTTTCAGAGGTGGATAAACAGCTCCTCAGAAATGGCCCCAGGAGAAGCAGATTGTAAATCTTTTCAGATGAACACACTCTTCGGTCCCATTAGGGGTAAGGGCCAAGTGCAGGAAATGGGTGTGAGAATTCATGGCCCGCTGGGGTCTCGACCTCAGGAGTGCTTAAGGACGTGACCACAGCTGCAGTCATCTCGATTCCATGTGGAACGTTCTGTGGGTTTCTATGTCTTCTGCATGAATCGGTTTCATTGCTAGATGGCAGAGGTTTTTTCTTTAGCTTTGCCCTGAGTGAGCCAGTCTGTGCAGGATGCTGGTCTCTCCCTTGACCTCCGGGATAGACCTCTGGCTTCCAGAATGCCAGCCCCAAGCATGGCACACTACCTTCGCCGCGTCTCCGAGGGGGCACGTGATCTCCAGGCACCCCAGGAAAGTGAAGATCCATGTTAACGACCACCTTGGCACCCTCTCCCGTTCCGCTGCAGGGTTCAGATCCGTGCCTCTGAAGAATGGGTACAGCGAGGACATCGAGCTGGCATCCCTCCTGGTTTTCTGTGAGATGCGGCCGGTCTTGGTGAGTGGGTAGAGGGCTGGGACTGGCCGGTGGCACTGTGGGCTGAGGGACTTAAAAACCCCTTGAGGGCCGACCGGCCCAAGGATGAGACATCAGAAAAGAAGAAGGCTTTGTTGCTGGTTGTGCAGCGCCCTGCTCTGCCCCGAGAGTGCCGCGCGGCATGCCGGGGCGGCGCGAAGCCCGCACGCATTGCTCGCACTGACAGCCAGGCAGCACGGGACGCTCTTCACTCCTGTTGGCCTTCGAAGGCCCTGCGTGCTGAAGCGGGAGCACTCCCTGCTGCCAGCGGAGCCTTCCTTCCTTCTAGTCTTGTTGGTTCCCAAAGGCCTTGAGGATTTTTTGTTTTTTGTTTTGTTGGTTGTGGGGCTTGAACTCTGGGCCTGGGCGCTGTCCCTCAGCTCTTCAGCTCAAGGTGAGTGCTCTACCACTTGAGCCATAGCGCCACTTCAGGTTTTTTATGGGAGATAAGAGTCTTTTGGACTTTCCTGCCCAGGCTGGCTTTGAACTGTGATCCTCAGATCTCAGCTTCCTGAGTAGCTAGGATGCCAGGCGTGAGCCACCGGCGCCGGACTTGAAGATTTTTAATTCCCCTCCACCCCTTCTTGTGTGTAGCAAGACAAGGTCGCATGATGTAGCCTTCTGGTATTGGGCTTTAAGCTTAGGGCTTGGTGCACTTACTCAGCTTGAGCCATGCCTTTTTACTTTTTTTTTTTTTGGTCATGGGACTTGAATTCTGGGCTTGGGCACTGTCCCTCAGCTCTTCAGCTCAAGGCGAGCGCTCTACCACTTGAACTACAGCGCCACTTCCGGTTTTCTAGTGGTTTATTGGAGATAAGAGTCTCATGGACTTTCCTGCCTGGGCTGGCTTTGAACCATGATCCTCAGATCTCAGCCTTCTGAGTAGCTAGGATGACAGGCGTGAACCACCGGTGCCTGGCTTTACTGGTTATTTTGGAGATAGAATCTCAGGAACTTTTCTGCCCGGGCTGGCTTTGAACTGTGATCTTGTGACTCTCACTTCTCTGAGTAGCTAGGTGCAAACTACCAGCACCTGGCTGTTACAAGGTTTGAAAGAGCCAGTGAGTCTATGGCCCTGTGCTCCAGGCTCGTGCCTCTCGGTGCCCTTCTTGCTTTCTCCTCCTGGTTATTTTCCGTGTAAGGAATTCATAGCCTGTGCCAGTGTTCTTTTGGCTGTGCCTCTGACAGCTTCCGGGAAGCAGCTGAGAAGCTGCAGACCAGAGGGAGGGGCAGAGGGGGCGGATTCCTGGGAGTAGCTGTGGCCAAAGTCGGTGTGGTAGAAATTCACGGACTCCACTCAGAGGAGACAGCCCGACGCCTTCCCCAGAGCTGTTGCCTTGCGTTCACTTTTCACAGTCGTGGTTGTTTTCTGCTCCAAAGCATTTTAGAAGCATCAAGATAAGATGGAAGAGGATGTGCAGTAGGAAGCAGAGACATAAAGGTCCATACTTAGTGGCCGAAGAACCTTAGACAGCCAAGGTGTTTTCCCTTTTGTCTTGATGCTTAGGTGCTGGTAGATCCTGCCTGTCATCCTGGCTATTCAGGAGGCTGAGATCTGAAGATCATGGTTCAAAACCAGCCCAGGCAGGAAAGTCCATGAGACTCTTATCTCCAGTGAACCACAAAAAGCCAGAAGTAGATCTGTGGCTCAAGCGCTGGCTTTGAGCACCAAAGCTCAAGGACCGCACCTAGGGCTAGAGATTAACCGCAGGATCAGCACCAAGAAAAAAAAATGGCGATAGAATTCTATCTTGAAAGGAGAAGAGTATGGGTAACAAAGATTTCCTCTTTGAAATAATTTTAAATATTCAACTGTAAAAAACAGAAAGTTATGTTGATAACAAAAATTTAACCTTAAATGATGGCTCCCCTCCTAAAAAGAAAATCAGTTCCTACAGTCATTTCTGTGGTAGAAGGTTTGTATCAATTTCTCCCTGTACCAGGACTACTAAGTTAGCCAATGATTTTTTTTTTTCATGAGAAAAGAACAAATTTTATTCTAATATTAAAGTCTTAAGAACATGTTACAAATACTGTTGTTTTAATAAACAAAAACATTTTCCTTCCTAAATGTAAACATCAGTAAATAAAACATACATAATATTCCGGGTATAGAAAAAACAAATTCACTTATGAAAGGTGTATTTTGGTATATTTGGTGGTTAGGGTTGTTGTTTGTCTTAATACAAAAGTACTTCAGCAATAGAACTAGGTCATTATTATTTAGTACTGTACTTCTTCACTCAGTTATCTTATTGGAGTAGGAAATCATTAATTTTTCTCTAACTCTGGCTACACGACCAGGCCACAGAAAAGATCTGAAATATCTAATAGTCATTTAGCTACAAAAAAAAAAAAAAGTGTTTTCTTGAGCTTTGGAAACATTTGTCACTTTGTATTTGAAGGCATTCCTCAATGGAGGAAACGGTGTTTCAACCAAAGCACAGGGCCTGGGTTCCTGGAAATGATCGCTAGGAAGCGATCCCCGGAACACCCACCAGCAGGGATCTTTGCAGGCATTCTGTATGCAGTACTGTTGAAGGTCTGCAGCTCCACGCTGGCCTCCAGCTTCCGTTGCTCCACCAGGCGCTGCCCGGAAGACATGGTGGCGCCCGTGGGGGAAATCCAATTATCCCACGATTCTTGCTGAGAATTTGTGGATCTAAAACTTCTCCTTTTTGAGAATGAATTATGCATGTGTCAACTCATCATCCAAAAGACCGAGATGCCTCGGTCAATGAAGAGACTAAAGTCAGAATTACTGTTTTGTATCAATGTCTTTAAATTAAAAAGAAAAATTAAATCCCATTAAACCCCAGTCCGGCTCCCGTGGGCAGTGTAGAACAGTTGTAACTGGAGAGTAAGAAGTGGAGGAAGGTAGCGTCAGTTCTGTTTGCTTCCTTCATTTCCCAGGCGTGAGCAAACTCCTGTTACCTTGCATCGTGTCTTGTGGGTGGGCAGCATTCGCAGTTGGGGCTGTGGACACTGGCCTCTGTATTGTAGGAGGTTTTATGCATCTCACTCCCCCCGTAGGATGACCCCACCCACCTGCAGACATTGCAAAATGTCTCCTGAAAGGCAGAATTGCTGCTGTAAAAAAAACCTCTTAGCTTCCTCTAGTGTAGACTGACCCTAGCTTCAGCCTTCCTTCAAGTCGGGAATGCAGGTGGAAGCCATTTCAATAAGTGACTACCTTGCCTTCTTTTATTTTTTTCTCTTTGTGCTCGTCCCTGGGCTGGAACTCAGGCCCTTACCTTTTTCACTCAAGGCTGCCATTCTACCACTTGAGCCACTGCGCCATGCCTGTTTTTTTTTTTGGTGATTAATTGGAGATAAGGGCCTCACAGCCTTTCCTGCGCCAGCTGGCTTTGAACCTCGATCCTCAGATCTCAGCTCCCTGTGTAGCTAGGATGACAGGCGTGAGCCACAGGCGCCCCCTCCCCTCGCACCTTTCCTTCTTTTAAACCTGAATTCTCTGCTTACCGTTAGTTCCCAGAGATGGACTCGTGGGGTCCGTTCGTCTCTCAGGCTGGTGCAGTGGTAAGGGCGAGCTTCAGCAGGAGCCACGGGCGAGCGGAGCTAGAATGCGGCCTTCTTCAGCTTCCTTCCCTCCCTGTGTCCTGCCACAGGTCTGGCATCCCCCCTCTGTGCATGGAGAACCCAGCACAGAGCACCCCGCCCTGAAAATGGCTTTAGATGGCGCAGCACTGCCAGGCTGTCAGAAACATCCCTGAGATGATTCGGTCTGGCCTGCCGCACACACAGGCGGTGTACGTGGAAGGGAATTGTGCTTGCTTCCCTAGACCTCCTTGATGGTGCAGGGTTGGGGGACACTGGGGCAGGGGTGGGTCTCATAGATCTGCCCCCCCCCAGTTGAATTGGGACGGGTCCAGCTCCGCTTGATGGACGTGGGCCTTTGCTGGGGGCTCTGCGTCTCACCTTGTTGTATTTCTTGTCCGTTCCCTGGGTGCTGGGGGAAGACTTCATTAAACAGCCGCTGGCAAGGCTGTCTGAGCCGGGGATTGATCAGCCAGGGCTGCGATGGAGTTGACTCCCAAAACATATGCTGAGCTGAGTTGCCAGCCCCAGAAAACTAGCCGTCAGCGCTTTACACCCGAGCGGAGGAAGCCACTTTCATGTCACCATTACTCCATCAACTCGCAGCCCTTTACTTGGCTGGCGGTAGAGAGGGGTTCGAAAGGGTACCTTTCACACCATTTCTCTTCCCCATTCTATTTAATTTGAGAAGGAGGGTAAAAAAGAGTAGGGAGAATTGAAAACCAAAATTTCCCTTGAACAGCCCGCGAGAGAAAACCACGGCTAGCGTGTTAGTAGATTTCCTCTGCCCTGGACTTTTTAGTTATTTGTTTTTATCTCGAATGTGATGTTTCAGAAGTTAGACTCCTCTGCTGTGCCTCCCCGGCATCACAGGGGGCTTCCAGCATTCCTGCGCTGATGCGTGGCTGCTTTCCCTGGTCAGCCCCTGTCCCTCATCCACTTACCCAACTCCCACCCACGGACACGCCGATTGTTGGCAGTTTTTTATTTCACAAATAACAAAGATCTGTGTGCAACTTTTTTTTTCTTGCTGATTAAAAAGTGTTTCTGAAGGCTAGATATTTAGCCATGGAGTAATAGATCAAAGTACAAAAGGACCATTTTCTTTGACCCATGTTGACTAGGTCTGTGAAAGTGAACAGTTTGTTTGGGGTTGATGTATGCCAGCCAGCCTGCTCATTCGTGGCAAGCAGCCGCTACTTACATGATCCAGACTGGTGCTTCCCAGAGTTCCCGGGAAGGCCAACTTGTGTTGTTGGCCCAAGTTCAGCTAAGCAGGTGTGTGCATCTCTTTGAAGAAGACCCCACCCCACATTCTAGAAGCCTGGGGATTGGGAACAATACTCATGAGTTGTCATAGTTGTTTTGTTTTTTTAATTTTAAGAATTGTTATTGCCAGGCGCCGGTGGCTTACGCCTGTCATCCTAGCTACTCAGGAGGCTGAGATCTGAGGATCACAGTTCAAAGCCAGCCCAGGCAGGAAAGTCCATGAGACTCTTATCTCCAATGAACCATCAGAAAACTGGAAGTGGTGCTGTGGCTCAAACAGTAGCGCGCTTGCTTGAGTTGAGGAGCTGAGGGACAGTGCCCAGGCCCAGAGTTCAAGCCCTTGACTGACCAAAAAAAAAAAAAAGTTATTATAAAAGTGACTTCCAGGGGGGTTACAGTTACATAAGTCAGGTAATGAGTGCATTTCTTTTTGACAATATCACCCTTCCTTTGCTCTCTTGGAGTTTTGGGCCTAGTTTTTGAGGTTAAAAATGATTTTCTTCCAGGCACGTGCCAGTAGCTCACGCTTGTAATCCTAGCTTCTCAAGAGGCTGAGATCTGAGGATCACAGTTTAAAGCCAGCCTAGGAAGAAAACTTTGTCAGACTCTTATCTCCAGTTAGCCTATGATTTATTTAGTTGGTTTGTTTGTTTGTTTTCGTGGCATTGGAGCTTGAACTCAAGGCCTTGTGCTGCTTAGGCAAACACTTGAACCATCCCCTAGTCCCCTATTTAGTTTGTTTTCCAGACTGTGCCTCAGGCTTTCTGCTCGGCTTGGCCCTGTCTGTGATCCTCCTACCTCTGCCTCCGTAATTGGGATTACAGGCATGCAGTGCCATATTTATTTGCTTTTTGAGATAAGTTCTTTCTAGCCCCCCGCCCCCTCCCCTGCCCCCTCCCCCACCCCCCCAATCCTGTGCTGGCCCCAAACTGCCACCTTCCTCTCCTCCATCATATCCTAAATTCTCCACCTCCTCCCTGCCTCTGTCACCACACTGAGCTGTTTCCCTGCACTCTTTGCGGCATTTTGAAAGGGGGACAATTATGAAGGGGGACAGTTTTCCGAAGCCCTGGCTTCCCTGTGTGGTCAAAGCTCGGCCCCTGGGCCCGTCCAGCACCGAATGCTCACGCTGGTCTCTCCCCTGCTTTCCAGGAGTGTGAGGAGGAGCTGTATTCCTCCTGTCGCCAGCTGCGAAGGAGGCAGGAAGAACTGAACAACCAGCTCTTCTTGTACGACACACACCAGAACCTGCGTAATGCCAACCGAGATGCTCTGGTGAAGGAGTTCAACGTCAACGAGAACCAGCTCCAGCTGTACCAGGACAGGTGCAACCGGAGGTGAGTGGGCCTCCCCCGTGGCCGAGCTTTTGTAAATGAATTGATAACGGTGCCTAAGTGCCCGCCCCTTCCCCAAGTAGAACTCTCTTCTCTAGAAGGACGTTGCAGTGGAATCATGAAAATTAACCACGATCCCTGACTTTATGTCCTTTGCAGTGGTGAGGATGGAACCCAGGGCCTCATACATGCGAGGAATATACTCCAGCCCGAATGACCACTAACTTCTTTTTTCCTTTGTGTTGCTCCTGGGGCTTGAACTCTAGGCCTGAGTGCTGTCCCTGGGCTTATTTTTGACTCCAGGCTAGCAGTCTATTACTGAGCCACTGCTCCACTTCCAGCTTTTTCTGAGTAGTGTATTAGAGACAAGACTCACACTAGCTGGGCACTGGTGGCTCCCGTCTGTAATCCAAACTACTCAGGAGACTGATAGCTGAGGATCATGGTTTGAAGCCAGCCCAGGCAGGAAAGTCTGTGAGACCCTTCAATAACCACCAGAAAACCTGAAGTGGAGATGTGGCTTGAAGTGGTAGAGTGCGAGCTTTGAGCACAAAAGCTCAGGGACGGCACTCAGGCCCTGAGTTTAAGCCCTACAACTGACAAAAAAGAAACAAGAGTTTCAGGGACTTTCCTGTCCAGGCTAGCTTTGAACCATGATCCTTAGCTTTAAGCCTTCTGAGTAGCTAAGATTACAGGTGTGAGCCACCAGTGCCCAGCTGACCATTAACTTCTTTAAAATTTTTTATTGTCTGTCATGGAGCTTGAACTCTGGACCTGGGCACTGCCCTGAGCTCCTCAGCTCAAGGCTAGCACTCTACTACTTGAGCCTCAGCGCCCACTTCAGGCTTTTTCTGTGCATATGGTGCTGAGGAATCAAACCCAGGGCCTCATGCATGGGAAGCAAGCACTCTACCACTGAGCCACCTTCCCAGCCCCCTGACTATTAACTCTTAAGGAGTCTTTATTAAATCCCCAAGAATGGACTAGTTTAGCAGATCAGGATCAGGACAGAAACTTGCCCCTACCAGGTTGTACCCCAGGTATGACGGGAGGAGATGCAGCCAGGGCCCTGTGTGCCTCACAAGGTGCCAGTAGGTTCCAAACAACCAACCTGATACTGACAGCCGTCTATCAGCCTAAGTCAGCATAACCTCTATTTTACCCAGGAAGAGGTTGAACCTCTGGGAGACTCCATATCTTACCAAGACCTGAGAGCTCTCCCAAGCACCCGCCTCTCAGTCCTGTACTGACCAGCCATCAGTTGCCCACCAGTGTGTAGCTGGGAAGGGGTAGGTAGGACAGAGCCTGTATCTCATACCCTGCTGATGGTGTTCAATCTGCTTCGATTTCAGGCTGCGAGAGAAGAGGGTTAGCAACAGCAAGTTTTACTCATAGAAGCAGAGGTGGAGGTGCGCGTGTGAGGCGGATGGGTGTGCGTGCGGATGGGCGGATGTGCTGTTCAGCCTCGGGGGTGAGGTACCTGCAATGCTGCCTTCCACCTGTGATGCCAACAGGACCATATGACCAAGGAACCGGGCTGATTTCCTGGCATTTTTTCCACCTTGGACTTTTTTTTTTTTTTGTAACTTATATTCTTTATAGAGGATCCCTAAACCGTGTCTGTCTTGGTGTGTGACCTCTCATGTTCCAACCTCATTGAATAAAGCACAGGCAGTCTTGGTCAGTTCAGTCTTCTCTGCGTCACCTAGACAATGAGTTCTTTTCTAATTGGCAAGATTCTGCAACAACCTAGGCGATTGACTCCCTCAGCAGAGGAGCCAGAGATGTAAGAATAGATTCTGAAAAGCATTGTAACTAAAAAGGCGCATGCTGCCGCTATGAAGGCCATTGGATTCCACAGAAGCCTACAGAGGAGACGTGCTGCCATCAGAGGACGCGGCTCGCTGCGTGAGCTACCACCAGGGGCTGGCTGGCTAGACTGACCTTCTGCCTGGACCTGCAGACCACAAGAAATGCTCATTGAAAGCAGTGGGCTGTCCGTTAGGGCAGTTTTATCATAAGTGGTAGAGGCTGGCTTTCTGACTTGACAGTGGGCTTGCTGGGTGGAAATCTTGGGGGCCTCTGTTTTACAAAGCCAGTCGGAGCAGGGAGTGGCTGACGATGCAGCCGCTGTCCCGGCTTGCCATGGCTCTGCCTGCCCCTGTTCATCTCACGACAGCCCAACGGAGCTGGCCGGAGGCTGCTGCGGAGGCCTTAGCTCCACAGCCCGGAGTCTGTTGCTGGTTTAACAGGCTAGATGAAAGGTAGGTTGACTGGGGGATTTCTGTAGGTTATCCAATTCTCTGGGGCAGCAAACTGAGCTTTAGTGGCGTAAGTCTTAGGGTGTTATGGCAAATGCCAGAGGCAGTCCTTCCCGGAGGGCCCAGCCCCCACCCTCCCCGTTCATGATTATTTAGTAGTTGGATGAGGCTCTGACACTTCTACCATTCAGTGATTTAAAAAGTTCTCCAAAATGCTGGGATTGGCCCATGTGTACTGCCAGGGAGCCAATGAGAGCAAATTAAGCTCTGCCTGGCCAAAAGGCTCCATCTTTCATCCCACAAAAAAGTGCTGAGTTAGGAGCTGGGAAGGTGGCTCAGTGGTAGAGGGTTTGCCTTGCATGCATGAGGCCCTGAGTTCATTTCCTTAGTACCCTATAAGCAGAAAAAAAAATGACGTGGCACTGTGGCTCAAGTGGTAGAGCGCTCACCTTGAGCTGAAGAGCTGAGGGACAGCGCCCAGGCCCAGAGTTCAGGCCCCACAACTGGCCAAAAACAAAAGCAAAAACAAAATATTCTGAGTCCCTATTGCCATAGGCCACATGTGTGTCGAGGTGTTTGGACCAGGAGGAAAGGCCACCTGTACCCATGGCCCACTCTAGCCACAGAGCCAGGACTAAGGTGACAGATCGGCCAGTGTTACTTTCCTTTTCTCATCAGGAGTTACTGCTCCATTTAGCAGCCAGCAGCCAAGAAGAGTGTCCTAGTAACCAGTGTGCAAAGGACCCTTCGAGAAGGGTTGGCTGGAAAGGCACCACACAGAAGGCTGGAGAAAAAGAAGTGTAGGCGGTGCTCTATTGGCTGGGGGCCAGGTAGTGACCAGAGCCTATTCCCACACATGGCAATGTAGGCTGGAGGCATGGCTCAGTGGTAGAGTTTAAACAAAACAAAACTAAGGGATGTTGCTGAGCCCGGTGCCTGTAATCCTAGCTACTTGAGAGGCTGAGATATGAAGATTGAAGTTGGAAGCCAACCTGGGCAGACAGATCTGAGAAACTATCTCCAATTAACCAGGCAAAATCCTGTAAGTGGAGGTGTGTCTCCAGTAGAAAAGGTTCATCTTTTTTTTTTTTTTTTGGTTGGTTGTGGGGCTTGAACTCTGGGCTTTGGTGCTGTCTCTGTGCTCTACCGCTTGAGCCACAGCACCACTTCTGGTTTTCTAGTGGTTTATTGGAGATAAGAGTTTCACGGACTTTCCTGCCTAGGCTGACTTTGAACCACGATCCTCAGATCTCAGCCTCCTGAGTGGCTAGGATTACAGGTGTGAACCACCGGTGCCTAGCGTAAAGCTCCATCTTTGAGTGAAAAAGCCAAGTGAGAGCTCAAGGCTGAGTTGAAGCTGTAGAACCAGCTGGAAGGTGAAGAGGAATAGGAAGAGGAGAAAAAATGTATTTAAAAATGCAATATCAACAGCAACCCCCCTTTTTTCTTTTGCATTTATTTACCATGAAACATTTTTGGTATTAGTTTTAGAGATGTACACAGGGCTACACAGTTTTCACATAAAGAGGTATCTTAATGTAATTGTTTAAGATCACGGATCTAGGGGTCACCAAAGGAAGAATTATTTGAAAGCCAGAATGGCTACAAGGAGTCTCAGTCCTTTTCACCTTAAAGAAATATAACTTCACCTTTAGCTTATGTGACATTTAGCTTTTTGAAGGCAACCTTAAAAGCCCTATTTGAATCCATAATTAGATTCAGAAATAAGAGAATCACGAATTTGGCTTTTAAGAATGATGCAGTGATTTGTCCTAGGTTTCTCTTCATCTTCCTGTTGCTTGTCAACTTGCAGTGCTGGGATCACAATGAGGGCCTTGTGCACCCTAGACAAGGATCCATCCCCAACCCTTTGACCCGGGTTGGTAATTTTCAAATAGTCCTTCCGAAGAGCCACATTTGAAATCTCCATATTTCTTATTGGCTGTAGACCTTGAAAAACCGTATTTGTAAACTCCTGTTTAGTTATTAAAGCTTAATTTATATAAATAGTGTTTGTGTGTACATAGAAAATTAAATAGTTGTATAACACTTAAAAATATAATGAGTGCTCTGTATGAGCAGCCAGTATTCTGCCCAGAATTAAAAAAAAAAAAAACACTTGATGTTTGCATTTTAAGATCCTAGATGAAACAAAGAAGTAATTCAGCCATGAGATGGGTGTCTCTGTATATCATGCTTACAGATCTCCACTTTTTTGTGTATATTTTTTATTGTAAAGATACTGTACAGAGGGGTTACAGTGACGTCAGTAAGGCAATGAGTCCATTTCCTATCGAGCATTGTTACCCCTCCTTTGTTTTGCCCTTACTGTCCCTTCCCTCCTCACCTCCGCAATTCCCCCCGCCACCTGAATCTGTAAAGTTCATTTTCAGCATTCTGTCTTGCACATCTCACTGTTACAATGGTTCAACCTGTATCCTTATTTCAGCATTTTGTTATTTCCCTTCCTCTCCCCACATTAGAAATATATATATATATATATATATATATATATATATATATATATAGGATGCAGGGCACAGGAATCAAATACAGTGAAAATGAGTTATACCATGAGGGAAGAACATGCAAAAAGAAACAAAAAAAAACAACATCAACAAAGATAAAACCTTTTGTGTCCCTATCGTGGGGTTCATTTCGCTCAGCATCATCTTGTGTGGTTATGGGTACATAGCTTTTGACCTTCTGCTTGTCCTAGACATATACGAATTATTGCAAATAAGGGAAACCATGGGACCTATATTTCTTTTCTCCACTTTTTTTTTGTTTCAACGAATTTCCTACATAGAAACCCATAGTTATAAAATTAATCAGTCCATCACCATTTGGAAGGATGTTTGGGCTGGGAGAAGCATGCTGTTGCTAGGGACTGTACTTCTCAGGACAGTGACGGGTCACACCGCCTGCCACTCGCTGCCTTTGCCGAGGGTTCCTAGAAAGCCAGGCCCTGAGCCGGTGTTCACCTCGAAACCCATGAGTCACCGCAGCCCTCAGACAGGGCCGCGCAGGACACACCTCTGACTTACAAGGTACACAAGGAGTCAGGAAAAGCTGAGAGGAAACGAGAGCTGATAAGTGATCATTAAAAAACAATGGTTACAGCTGTAACTCCACACTACAACAGGAACGTGTGGAGAATTCCATCGAACTCATTAACGGGCCAACAAAATGTCGCAACTGGTTCCAAGACAAATTCCAAAGCAGGCAGACACAGCCAGGGCCGCCCAGAGCCCCTGACCTCCGGGGGCCTCTGCTCCGGTTGCTGCTGGAGGGACTCAAAGGGTTCCTGTCTGTACACAGACTGGCCTGTGGAGAGTCGGCAGGCCAGCCTTAACTTGGGACTTGATCGCTAGCTTTGTTGTCGGTGTGGTTATTGAACAAATTCACGTCGGGATTGCCAGTGGACTTGAATTCTGACCCTTCCCTCACCCCCACGCACGAGCCCCAGGTGGGGAGAGAAGCAAGATGGCCCCACGGGAGCTCTAGCACTGGCACGCTCTTCCTCAAAAACAACCGAACGGTGCGTGCGCGGCTGCACGCAGGGGAGATGATGGGGACTGATACTGGAACACAACAGAAAGACGGGAACCTTGCAAAATTCAGAGAGCTGGACAACAGTGTCATAGAAAAACAAAACGTGTCACCTGCCACCACCCTGCTCCACAGCTCGGGGTGGGAGAGGCTCCTGGCAAGGGGGTGGAGGTGATAGAATCCCCCACCCCAAAATGCCCTGCATAGACACAGGCAGTCTATCTGTCAAAAGCATATGTCCCAGATAGAAAAGAGGCCTGAACTCTGCACACTAGTCTGACACGAACTACCATTGGATGCTGTTATTCCTACCTGGGCATTTGTCTAAAGTAACAAATCCTTGTAGAGGGGAGGTCTGTGCACATGTGTTTATAGGAGCAATATTCCTAACAGTCAGAATGTAGGGCAGCCTAGGGGCTCATCAATCAATGAATGGATAAAGCAATTGTGACATATATACACAATGGAGTATTATTTAGTCCTGAAGAATGAATGCAATTATGTGGTTTGTAGGAGAATGGATAGAAATGGAGAGCATGTTAAGTAAAATAAGCCAGACTGAGAAAGACATGTTCTCTCTCTCTCTCTTTCTCTCTCTTGAATTTAGACCTCAGGAAGTGAAGGACAGAAGTGTAAAATGGGGACTTTAGGGGTGTGGGAGCCAGTAGGGTTCAAGATTGAATGGGTGAATATAACCAAAATGCTTTATATATATGAAACTAGAATAATGAGGCTCAGGGACAGTGGCCAGGCCCTGAGTTCAAGCCCCAGGACCAACACACACACAAAGAAAAGAAAATAGAATAATGAAGCCTGTTAAAAGTTTAAAGGAGGTAACTATGATAAAAGTACGTTATGTACATGTGTAGAC